ATACATATTAATGAAAAAAACTTCCACAATTTGAGTTCTGGCTAGAAAATATGTTATATTTTTTTTTGATAAGTAGATAATATGTTATATGTTAGTGAAGGTACCTTGAATTCTGGCAAATTTCCTTTTCAATCATTTCGTGCTCATTTTCTGAAGACTGTTTGTGACTGATGTAGACTGGTTGAGACTATGGGAACCTGCCTTTCGGGCCATGTCATGTTCTGGTGGGCTCTACTTGCTCTCCATCATAGTCCTTTAATTGATTCGACTTTGAGGCCCAATGGGTTATGGTCTTTTCATTGTCTCTGGGATTGTAGTATACTTTCCCTAATACCAGTGCTTCATAACATTGTTGAAAGCAAGTCTTGAGTAAATTGGGAAGGTTGGGGATATGTTTATCTTATTCATGTCAAGGCTGTAAAAGGCAAAGTTGAGAGGGGTTTCATTTGGGTGAAGACATGGTGAACTTTCAAAGGAATGGTTGTGAGTCATAATTTATTTCCTAAGAACATTTTATAAATAGCAGAAAATGAGAAAGTTTTCAAAATATAGAATAACAGAAACAATAGAAAAATATAGAAAATCTGAAGGAGACTTAAAAACAAATATTGAGATATTGTTGACCATTACATACTAGTGAAAGAAGCTTACAGTTTCACTTCTTTGTCCTAGTACTGTATTTATTGTTGTGAGAAAATATGTAATGTTCAGCTCTTAAATATTGGGCATCACTAATGAGTATGAAAATGAAGGACTGGGGAACGAGACAACCACTTATGCCCCCAAAGTTATGTTATACTTGTACCTATCAGACCCATCCCTACCCTTGATGTGTTTTTTGGAGAGTTGTGTTTGACATTCCGCATCCCCTGGCACTAGAGGTCAGATTCTTCTATCCTTGCTTGGTAAAAATGTAAAGGAATATCATCTATCACGTCAATTAGTATCTTCAATTTGGCTTGAATGAAGCTTAGTTATGTTCACCCATCTATTCTTATTTGTAAGTGGCAAGTGAACTGTGCACCACTGCAATTTTGAGTTGTTATCCTTTTACACTCCATGGGCTTTGTGTCTAAACAAGCAATTGATAAAAGGCTTCGAAAGAAAAGGTGAGCAAATGAATAAAATCTTCTTTTAAAGGAACATGTATTCCACATCAGCAGTGGATGGGAACAATTGCTTGAGTAGTACTTACAGTTGTGAAAATAAGGTTTCATTAGATATTTTAGAGGACTATGAGAAGCTAAGGGGGGTGCAGTTGCTAATTTGGGCTACCACAATCCTCATTTAAACATTTCTTTCAGTTTTTAGAATTGCCATGCGTACTGGTCTCAGAATTTGATCCCTTTGCATGGGCTTGATGGTGCTTTTATAGATAGAATTCCTTCAATCTTCTTTTATAATCTTTATTTTTTCTTGGTGTTGATTGCGTACATTATTTCTCATCGTTGATTGTGTAAGCTATAATAATTGGAACCAAATGACTTAAAATGATATTAAATTTGTCATGGACCAGAAAATTGACACTTGATTTTATAGATGATATGTGTCGAGGGAGCAAAAACCTCGATTTAATTGGAGATCCATTTCAGAGTTATGTATTTATTTTCATAAAAACAAGAGGATTTTGATTATAAAATTTCTTAAAACATGATCATGTATAGTTGATGATTTCATAATCTCTATTTTAAAACATGATGATGATGAATCAACGTTTAAAATCATCATGAATGTGTTCGTTTTTAAGCTTATCTTTACTACTAAAATCATCTTTAGTACAAATATCACCATCTAAGTGGCCTTGAAAAAATAAAGAAAGTGCACCACTGTTTAGTGTAGAGTATTTAAAATAATTTTTTATATTTGAGATATATGCAATTCATATCGGTATGTATGCATCAAAAACCAAAAAAAAAAAAAGTCCTTCTTTGAAGATTTTTTATAAAATATATTCTATCATATAGTTGTCATTATATAACACAATAGCTTACTAATATTTAAATAAATCTCGATAACACAATGTAACTATCATAATTATAATTGATGAAACTATAATTACTATTGTTGTAGCAAATGATTTATTATATTTGATTTAATCATGATAACATTATATAAAAAATATGTTTTCATTTTGATATCACAGAATTTAGTGAGCTGCGCGAAATCTTGGGTCAGTAAATGAGCATGATGTGTTTACAAGGGGACTCTAACCATTTTCCATGTATCATGTGCTCTTTATTTCTTGATGTTAGAGTGATTAGGTGGTTGCAGTCGGGGAGCTTAACGCATAGTAGTGTCATTTTGTGCAATGACTCGAATTTCAAATCACTATACTGATACATGATAACAATATAATTTCCTAATAATTGTATGCTCTTCTAGATCTATTTTATTGTGATGGATTGCATTTTAAACTTCATTTTGACTGTGAAATGAATGTAATGGTTAACAAATAATCAAACATGAGACAGGTTCCCAGTATTTGCCTATTTTTGGAAAAATAATGATATTCCATACTGCAATGTCCCCCTTTTTCTGGAAACCTAAAAAACTATATCTTTAAGAAATTTTTAGCAATTTTTGAATTTTTTAAGGCCGGATCAGCCAAAACCGACCGATCCGCCAATAAGGATTGCCAATTTGCCAATCTGGAGAAAAGGGGCTAGGGTCGTGGTGGTAGCATCCGCACACCTAGTCACCACATTGTGGTTTCCATTCCTACCACTAACACCTTAAAAAATCTAACTCTAATCTACTTAAAAAAATGGTTAGGGGCCTGCCTTTCCCACGGAATTACCCAAAAAAATAATAATTTGTCGATCTGGACTGGTTTCCCAGAAGACCGATTCTCCTGGCCGATCCCAGTTTTCAAACATTGATACCAAGTGAATGTAGCAGTCAACAGTTTGTATTGCTAGCTTTTGGGGACCTTTCAACTTGGAATTTGCAATTGGAATACAACTGAAATGCGTCATTTTCTTTTGAGTTCATCAAACACACTATCTTTCATATTTAATTTACACATTTCAGAATCTCTGGCCAATTTGATTTGGTATGCAGTGGAATACCATTGCATCCCACTAGTTTCATACTATCCTTCAGAGATTTTATTAATCTTGGGATGTGTTACATCCCATACCTGGATTGCATAACCTTTATATTTTCTAAAACTACCATTTTGAGAAGCAATATAGAGGGACCATGCTACTGCCTTTAAATTCTTTTTAGGTCATCTTAATGCCATTAGAAAATTATATGTGCGGCGATGTGTTTTTTCCTTGTTTTGATTCTTCTGCAACTGTTACCACTTTGGGAAACAAAGACCGTCTTCGAATTTCTTTTTGAAATGAAAAGTTCTCTTCTTTTTTTTCTTTTCATCCATAGATAATAAATTTGAATTTTGCAGTAGCTTTAAGCCCTGAATTGTTGACTTTATGATCCAGGCGTACCTGGGAGTTGGAGCAATATTACTCAATGTTGACTCTGCGCTGGAGATTCCTTCATTTCAGTTTTCGGACGATTTTTTTTTGTTTTTTTTAGCTTTTTTTTATGACTTCATGTTGAATATAGGCTCACATAGGCGGAATTTTTTGTTCTCTTACCTTTGTTTATTCTTGTCATCTAAATGTTTTCTCTCGCCTTTTCTTTGTTTATCCAAAAACCGGTTTTTTGCACGTCTTATTGAAGTACTAAGGGATAACCTTAGTACGTTAGAGCTGTGACGTGACCTCATTTTGCAACTATTCTTGGTGATTTTCAAGGTTATTTACTTAAAACAAGAATATTTTAGAGTTGAACTTATTTTTGGCAGAAGTTTCTATGAGACCTCAACTTGGTCTTTTCTTATTTGCAGGAGCTTGCTTTTTTTTTTTTTTAGTTATTTTTTCTTTTTTTGAGGGAGGGGTTGGGGGAGTTCAGAGACTAGTCTAGTTACTAATAGACATTTGATGGTTGTTAATGGCACACCTCAATTCTGAAAACAAGATTTATTTCTGAATTTGATATTTTTTCAGGTTACATGTTCTATTTTTTCAATTTTCTTGGTTATTTATGTTTTCACAAGTTTAATAACTTCTCCAACATTTTCCTTTGTCAGTGTTTTATTTATATGATTTTTCTAGCTGCTTTTGACTGGACCAACCATATTCCCGTTCAATGAGGCATCTGTAATTAACATTGATCTCCATAGCCAATACGATCCTTCTTTTTGCATTCTACTTTGGCACAAGCATACCTCACTTGCAAGTTGTAGTCATAGAACACTAACATCTTGTACTCTAGTTGGGTCTTTTCTTCTCTATTTTTTACAAATGTCGAGGCTAATTTCTATTTGAACTTCTCGCTTGAATCAAATGTCATCCAGTACCTCCGAAATTCAGGTTAGTTTTGGGTAGGCTTGATGGTTAGACTTGAAGCCCTTGCCATCCGCGTATAGTTTGAACTGCATGCAAGTTAACAATGAATTCTATAACATTGAGTATCATACCATGGATTCTATTTGATTATTATTCGTTCTGTATTGTAATGTATATTGTTTGTACTGTTTTGTCATTTAGTATTGCTTGATGTCAAACTGTTCTGTTATACTCAAGCAAGGATGTCATGTTATCATATTGAGACTATACTATATTAAACCTTTTTGGTTCACAATAACAATAAGAACTGCATGTTCTCCCAATTTCAGTCTCATTCGAAAAGTTCCAGATTTTCATTATCATCATTTTTCATTCAAATAAGCCTCCTTGATTTTTAAATGATTCAAATGGATCTGTTCTGACTAGTCCTTGATCTGATACTGTTATGTCAAGTTCATAGAAAACCTGTTTTTGTACCCGTATCACTTGAGAAATTATAATGATGTTTAAAAGGTATTTTGGGCATTGTGACACATTCATGAGATGCTTATAGAATTAGCATGCATCTACAGATCTCCATATGTCCTTGTACTGTCTGGGTACATGTTGGAAATAAGCTAACGGCTGTCATAAACAAATATACAAAGCCCAACATTGGCTTTTAACTTGATTTTTCTAAATATTAGGGCTTCACTAATTGTTGCGTACTATACATTTTCTTTTTAAATTTGCAGGTTCATGTTAATGCTAGTTCTTTCCATTGTGTGTGCATGGTGATATACTAGTCCATAGCTTGTGCAAATGGGGCAGCCCGGTCTTCCGTGCTGCCCACCGAAACTAGGGCCTGAGGGCTGGGCCTCAGACAGGGCCCATGGGCCTAGGCCGGCCCTGCCCAGGCCAGACCAAAGGCCTTTGCCAGTCATATCCACAGCCTATGCAAGGCACAAGTGTAACTAATCAACCTTTCAATTATTTTTTTCGATCTCATTTTAAAATCGAAACAAATTAGTTTGAGTCATAAAATTTCATAATTGAAAATAAAGAAGCGTCATTCCTTATTTTTACTGGAAAATAAAAAATTAAGGGATTTCTTACTATTTGATAATTAATTCTCATTGTATATCGAAATAAAACTTAGTTATTACAAGTTCAGGACACTATTTCTATAAGGATAACTTATTTTTTGAGTCCCTAAATTTAGAAAGGTAAAAGAGTTGTTAAACAATAAAATTCTGTAACTCAAAAATTTTAAAAAATTAAGAAAGTGTATCTCTTATTCAATTAAAAATAAAAACTTAAAATAAATTCAAAAGCATAGAGGTTTATCTTAAATCCTGTACATGCTAGGAATCCTTTTTAAAATAAGTGGTTCCCAGTTTATAGGGAGAGAGAAAGATATGCAAGTAAACCTTATTTATTGGACTAAGGTGTGCTATGAGAGTGTCCTACTTTTCAAGGAGATAGAAAAGATCTAAAGGCTATCATTAAATCCCATAAAGTTGATGGCCTTTACTGCAGAATGAACACGCACACAGATACGCATACATCCTAAGAAAATTAGTATATAGATATGCCCCTAAAGTAAAATGTTTAGTTATGCCAGTGATAATCAAACTAGAATAATAAGGTGAACTTGTAACAATAAACTGTTGCTGAATTCAAGGAAAAAGGAATCCTGAAACGAGTCAAGAATGGCAGAAAGCAACATGCAGCTCCTTCTAAACCTGAATGTTACAAATAATTTAGGAATCAGACCAATGGGAAGTTTGAGAGTTAAGTTTCAGATGTCACAGATTATTCTATTATTGAGAAATTGAACTCTTTGTTTATACTGTTTTTCCCAACCCTTAAGTTCAAAAGCAATTACCACTGTTCAACACAGACGACTTTCTAATTTGGCTTTAAATAGATTTCAGCTAGTCCAAAGTCCAAACCATGATTTAAACTTGGTGCAATTAGAGTTTAGGATTCAGCATTCCGTTAGAGGAGGAATGGGATGGCATGGAACATGGGAAATCAATTTTCAAGCTAGATTTTATTCTAGAATGCCTGTAGGAAAATTGGGATTGATACAAGGAGTTGAGGACATTCTAAGACTGATTATTTTCAAAGGACTACTATCAGATTTTCAAAGAAGTGAATCCCCATGATGATGGAATTTCTAGAAAATTAAAACTACAAAAACAATTGAGCTTCATGAGGATGCGACTCAAGTCAATTGTGAGGTTTATGCAAAATGGAGCAAATATGATTGTTCTGCGAAGAATAGTATGTTTATCTCCATGCCTCTGTTCATGGATTTAAGAGGAATTACAATGGTGATGCTCTTTAATCGTTTGATGGTTTTCTTTAGAAATACCCAATCCTTTCAATTTCTAGGCGATTCGACTGTCACTGCTTATGTAGAGGCTAGGGCTATGTTAAAGTGTGAACTAGCAGAAGGTGTGATGTGGAATATCAAACATTATTGAGCTGAAATATGAGTACGTCTTGGAACCGAGATTAGTCAGTCAAGTACAACATACTTATAGAGCATAAGAATGCTAATCATCTCGCATGTTAACGCTAAGATCCTCGTGTGTAACCATGCATCCTGACCATAGTTAGTAATACTCCATTCAAAAGACGACTTTCTAAAAAGATGTTGTTTTTTAGAGAAGACTTAAAATGAGTGATTTTCAAAATATGTGGAAAAATATTCATTTTTTTTTTGGAGAAAATGAAATAAAAACATCATATATCTTTATATGAAAAAGCTTCTGAAGAGATCCTCATTAAATTACGTTAAAAGTTTTTTACTTGTATCTATGTCTCTTGGTTTATTGGAGCAAACCCCATTACCTCTCTCTAAATTTTATGTTGGTCTTGCTTCTTAGATTTGATCTCAGAGACCTGTCATAGAGTCGGTTTCATACTCCACTATTTTAGCCTTAATCAAGTTTAGTTTGTTGAATGATTTTTACTGGTTAGAATGGCAAGGTCTTAGTTTTACTAGTTGGAATGACTAGGTCTTTGTTTTACTAGTTGGAATGACAAGGTCTTAATGATGGTATAGTATTTGATTACTTACATTTTGAACTGATTATATTTTTGTTTTACTTGTAATTCATTCTCACCTATCCTCCCTAGACAAACTCACCCAAAAACATACACATATATACCCCCTTTTTTTAAGTTTGGTTTTGTGAGACACATCCAAAATAATCACATATTTCTTTGCTTAAAGTTCTTTTGGGTGTCCATAATGTTTGGCATGTATTTTTCACTCTGCTTCTTGGACCGAATAATTTTATGTGTCTCATTTTTATTGGGCTCTCTTATTTTCATATATGTACTGTGATTTGTAACTCATACTTTCTTTCTCTCTCTTTATTTTCGAATCTAGGCATGCAAGAAGCTTGGAAAGCTTGAGCTCTCAGACTGTGAGATGTATGCTTCTTGCGAGCCATGCCCAATGTGCTTTGGTGCTGTTCATCTTTCACGAATTAAGGTCTCTCTCTCTCTCTCTCTCTCTCTCTCTCTCATTCATACGTGCGCACATGGACTTAAGAGCTGTCTCTAAAGCAATGTAGCAACTGAAGCTTCCTTATGTGATACAGAGACTGGTGTATGGCGCCCAGGCCGAAGCAGCTATTGCAATTGGTTTTGATGATTTTATTGCAGATGCATTGAGGGGCACTGCATTCTACCAAAAAGTACATTTGGAGGTTAAGAGAGCTGATGGTAATGGTGCCATCATTGCTGAACAAGTATTCGAGAAGACAAAGGCAAAGTTCCAAATGTACTGAATTGTCTTTTGGGGCTCACCAAGGAACTCTTCCATTCATAAATTCCAATAATATTTAAAACACTGGAAATGCTTCTTCAATTTCATTTAATAGGATTGTTCCCTTGAAAAATAATTTCATCACAACCTGTTTCCTTGAAAAATAATTTTTTTGGAATGATCTCTAACAGTTTCCGTCATTAAAATAGTTGTTTATTTAATATGGTGTGTAGAATTATGTGGTAAGTTCATGCTTATTTTATGTAGGTTCATTTTTTTCATAGTTGCCTAATTGGTTTTAAATTTATTATGGGACATCAGGAGTTTAGTACTGATGTGGTCTGGGATAAGTCAATATCATTTGCTTACTCGATACCTAAGCCATTTAGAGTTTTTATTAGCAGGGTATGGTTAGCAGAATGATGGATCAGGATCCGTGTAGCCGACTCCAAATAGTTGTAATAATGTTATGATGATTGGTCTAAAGTTTTTTATATTTATATTTTTATTTTGAACGAGTAAGGTTTTTTTTTAGAGAGAACTTAGTTTCAGTTTTGCAGGTAGGTTGTCTAGATAGCAAGAGTTTCGCCATTGCCCTCAACACCCAATATTTGAAGGATGCAGTTGTGCAGGGCCTAGGTTTTACGTTGAAAAGTAAAGCTGACCTCGAAACCTGTTAAATAACTTTTAGTGAAAGGTTAGAGACCAAATTTATTAGGCTACATTTGGGCTGATCCGAGTAGATTTATTCTTGTTTATCAGAAATCGTGAATCGAAGAGGTCTGGGATATAATTTTTCCTTGGACACTAGTTTGGTTTTGCTAAACTGGGCCTTAATATACTTCGATTAATTCTCTCTCTTGAGAATGGCTTAACTCGTTTTTTTCTTTTTAAAGTATTTTAATATTATTATTGTTTATGTGTGTAAAATTTGGAATCAAAAGGATTCCTAGTTTTCAAAGTAGTTTACACTACACTGCAAGTCTGTACGCTGTGCCCAAGGGAATAATGTAAGCCCAATGGTTTAGATTGAATATGGGCTAATATGATGGTCACGACTGTTTTTTGCATTTGAATTTTAATTTTTTTGTATAAATTCAAGTCACATGAAATTTGCAATGTCCACTTTTCTTATTTATGTGCACCTAATGAAAATATTTAAAAATAAGTCATAAAAATTAAATTGATCCAAGTATTCATGAAATTGTCAAGGGTATTTTGATTAATTTATTTTTAGATATTTTTATTAGATTTGCTTAACTTTTTAAGAGTAGATGCTATAAATTTAAGTGATTTGAATTTGTAAAAAAAAAAAAATTTAAATATAAAATGCAGTTGTGATTATTATATTAGTTTAGATTCAATTTGGGTTATTTAACTATTTTTTGTAGTTGTCAGCTAGTGGGTTTTATATATATATATATATATATATATATATATAGG